TGACTCCCGATCCATACAGACGAGTCACCGCTATGCAGATAGAAACCGTGACCGAGGAACTGGACCCTCTTGTGAAACGACGATTGGCCCGTCGCAGATCGACGACAAGTCTATCTCGTCGCTTGAGAGCTCCTGGGATCATGAATACAACCGATGGAGGGAGAATGTGGGTGGTCTTGGAGAGTGTGTGAATCTCTTCCTCAGATCTCTTTATCCACCATCCTCTCTCTTCATATCCTCGGACTAGCTCGTCAAAGGTCTTCTGCTTCTCGAGGGTTAATCGTTCGTATGCGCGTTCCGCAATTCGACGGACAGCCGTTGGAATTTGTACATGACTCGCCTCGCCCAAGGAATCACATCTAAGCTCAAACACGTGAGTCTGTCGGGAGTCGTCACGTATTTCATCAGCACGGAGCTTCCGTAGACGAGCAAACCAGTGTTGACACTTCCGCATTGGCCACCACCCTTGGCTGACCAATCGGTCAAGCAGGTCAGTTGAGATTGGTGGTACCGTGTCGAAAGGAATGTCCATCTCCTCAGATGATGAGGGCGGGAGGGGAAGTCGTTCATAGGATGTGTCTGCATCCTGTCGGCCCTCAATCATAGTCGTCAGCAGGCAGCCAGCAGCTTCGTCGTCCCATTTCCCATCCCCTAGACTGGGATCAAGAATACATATATTAGACTCTTCGGTCACTGAGCATCGAGCAACGGTAGGCACCGATTCTTGCGGGAATCGGACAAGGGGCAGATCATTACCAGCGAGCGTCACTCGGCTCTCGCCTGAGTCAATCGATATTTTATAATCACGCAAAAAGACTCGACCCGCGATAATCACTGGGCAATCAGATAAGGGGCCCCGTGATACTTGAGGTAGCAGGTACAAATATCTGTCACGAGTAGTTCCCCATCCCTGCTGTTCCCGGAGCTGCATTGGGAACTTCACTTTGCGACTCACTTTTCGACTGGACGAGTCAGCAAGCTTCACTTGGAAACTACACGTCTCAATTGGGAATGATTTTAAAGGGAAAGAGTCATCGTACAATAAAAAATCAAGACCAGCCCCGGTGTCTAATAATAACCGGGCATCTATCCAACTCATACAAGTGGGGGTAGTAGCAAGACGACAACATAACCAGTAAGCAGATGGTACCGAAGCCCTATCACGAGTGATAGGAAGCAGTTTCAAGTCCTGCTCAGGACTCATGAGAAAGGGGCAAACCGGTCAGAACGGATGCTGTTCTTCGTCAGTCGAGAGATAACGGCATCCCTATCAGTGCCAGCCTTGAGAGCAACTATTCGGAAGAACGGATTACGACGTCCTTTTCCCTTCAAAGGGAAGTTGCTCTCCATTTCAGGAATGGCCTTCTGCAGATCGTCACCCCACAGTCCAATGACCTTGATCAATTGGTCAGGCTTATATCGTTCACACCACTGCTTGGGGGTTACTGAGCGAGATCCCGATCCGGAGTTAACCTTATCCACTGAGGCAGCAGAATCCTGTTTGCTTGCCGGCTTCGAGGATAAACTCTCTTCGCAGGTGTCGTCGTACATGGCGGCGTGAACACTATCGACCCCTTTCGTCGGTTTCATTATTGAGGCTTGGTCCTTTGTTCGGCATACCCATCGGATTGCCTCACAAACACTTCGCACTCCGTCTGATGCCTCATCGAATGGCACCGCCGTCTCCCAGTCCTCATCGACAGAGGCTAACCCCGACAGCTGGCAAATTCTCTCCATAACCTTCTCAATGATATGCTGTGGGAACTTCGCCAGAACTTGTCTTGTCAATGAACGTCGCTCCGACACGTCGTTCGGGTAGACATCTGTGAATAGATGGTAGATATCGGCGGCGGACTCCAGGAAATCCTCGATCTGCTTAACCCCTGTAAATGTGAGATTGCGTAACTTCTCCTCGTAGGTCTCCTTCAACACTGATCTGCGGCAATACCTCGTCAGAAGGACATTGCGGACCAAATTCCAATCCTGTGAGTGGGTACGTGACGCTACAGTGGCCTTCTTATGGACCGGTCGGACATTACTCAGAGAGGAAAGGAATTTGGTCATGACAGATACTTTGACCTCCTCGTGCACTAGCAAATGTCCTTGCTGGTGATACTCAGCGGCTCCTGCTTCAACGAAGGTGTGTTCAATAGCATGATAGTGCGATTGGAGATCTGTTGCTTCACAGAGTTGAGGCAGACATAACTTAGTCACTGTCGCTGCCGGGCATCGTGAGGAGCGTGACTTCGGAGTGGTATACACCTCATGCTCCTCCTCCTCGGACCGTGGAGAGAGTCGACTGAAACCTTCCTTCCGTGATATCTCGCTGACGGATCGGTCAGCCAGGGCCTCAAGTTCAGCAATACGGGCCTCGAGGCTACCTATCTTAGAAAGATTACTGGCCTCCTTGGACGCGAGGTCGCTCATAAGCTGCTGAGTATCATCCTTCTCGTCGGAGATGATGTTGTTGAGAGCCTCGCGAGTATCCCGGAGGGAACGGCGCGTAGCGGCCAACTCTCTACGGGCTTCAGAGAGCTCAGCGAGCTCCTCAGGTGTCGCCATATTAACAACGAGTAGACAAGTTTACGGTTGTGAAACTGAGATTGAGCGTATCAATGTCATTTAATATAATGGCTCAGGGAAAAAACACCATCAATTGCGGGGCACGCACGTACACAGGACTGCACGCACGAACAAAGCAAGACCGGGCTCGTCAATCCTCAATAGACCTAGGGTCAAATCCCACGATGGTCATTTTTCTCACATGTCTCCATAAGGAGACAGTGGTCGGCCACGTCGACGACGCCAGCCAACACCCGACGACCTTTTGTTTTTTAATCACCCAATTTCCAAAATAATCTCAATGAGAGCCCGCAGAATTCTTGCTAGGAAGCTCAGCGAGCCCCGCCCCTTCGCACCGAAGACCTAGTAGCAAGAAAGTGTCAGTTAGCTAGAATGTATGTTTCCTTTTGCTGTTGTGCTTGTCTGCAGGAACGCAGTGGTTGATATACACTGTATATTAGACAGAAGAGCAAAGCAGCAAATTCACTTTACAAATACGCAAACTCGCCGTATTTTATAACAGAAATTGCCCGAATAAATATCGTTTGCTAGTTTGTATTTCAAAAGATTGCTACAATATATAAAAGTGGCGGCTGTGTGTAGTGCTACGATGTAACAAAATAGAGCAAGTTTGCTCATAGAAGCGGCAAACCAGTAGACTGCTCCATCTACGATTGCGCAAACTGCTACTTTACAGTGGAGTAATTTGCTGCTTAACGAATAAATAAGTCCGCAAGGGAGCAAATTCCTGCTTTGCCACTAGAGACTTCCGAAAAGGACGAAGCAAATTGTCACGCGTGGAATTCAAAATGAACGAATGTCGCGTGTGTGGGATGCTAAAGTTCCCACTTCGCAATTTTCTCCGCGTTCAGTTTTGGCCTGTATAGTCCTTCATCACTCCTACACAGTCGATCCTAATTGCTCTAAGAAGGCTTAGATACGGGCGCTGATGGATGGATATTCCACGTGCAGGATATCAGGTCCCTTCGTAGTGATACTTATCAAAAAGTAGACTCTCCGGCATGCTCCATGCCGTCATAGTGAGCCGTGGGATGAAGATTACCATGATGCGTACCAGGTGGGGGATCCTCACTAACTCAGTGCTTCACTGCCAGACACTGAGGATATAAAGTGTTACGTTTGGTAGGTTACACCATCACCACGTATCCTGTGAGCGTAGTGTAAGTGAAACAGCACCCATAATGGGGGACCCATCACTGTTACGTGTGGCACAAAGTTGTGCAGCACGCAACTCAAGCTAGAGTCTCCACTACTATAGTGAGAAGTTCACTTGGCCTGAGCTGTTATTCCCTGAGATTTTGGGTGCGCCATGTTGCGATAAGTCAAGTATCATGAAGTATGGTGCTTGAATGTCTTCCTTGAGCCCTCGAGTGTTTGCAAGTCTTCACGACGCGCTCGAGATACAACCCACATACTCGATTCGAGTGACTCGAATCACCAGTGATGGTGTAAACTATTGCGTCGTAGTAAGACGTTAGCAGCTCGTAATCAGCACTTCTGATCTACACTTCTTTAAGAAGTCTTCTTATACCCAAGTTCCAGAATAAGTCGAGGGAAGGTGCGCTCAACCGATGATGAGGCTGAAAGGAATTCAACGAAACAGCTCAGCCTCCTGAAGAACTGGGTGCTGCGTTGATAGACTGAGAGGTTCAGGATACCGCAAAAATCCTCTATCACAAACCGAAGGTGTTAAATTGATGTCTTTTCGCGAATGTGATTTCCTTTGTTCGCAAAACTGGTCGCAATAGATTTTTTCTGATTGCAAACTCGTGATGACATGCGGCTGCATATTGCAGCATGCAGTAGAATGGATATAAGGTGAAATATTGTAATTGAAAGAGAAATGCTACCCCATAACTGTGTTTTCTCGATTGTATATCACTCGTACGAATGATGTAAAATGACAAATTCGCTAATAACACCAACAGGGTTGGAGTTTGAGCGAATCAGCAAGACGCTAGTATATATTCCTACAGCGCGCAAGTTACAAGAGAGCAAATGGCCATAACATAAAAATAACGCAGCGTTGCCACATAGCGGCAACTGCTAATTTGCATATTTCATGCAGGAACATCACACAAGAGCAAACCCTGAAAGATCCCGGACTAGATAATTACAAGGCAAAACATACGAAACAGCAAATGAGCACAGTTTAACAGAATAAGGAAAACGTGCGAGCGCGGCACGTCTGGGGCCCAGACTGTGGGCAAAAGTGCCAGCGTGTAAGAGATTCCGGAGAAAATAACAGTGGAGCAAAAAAGCGCCACTTGCTACAAGACACTTCGGAGTTCGCTACTTCAAACACTTGGTTGCTGAAATATATACTAGTGGTATAGCTCATCCCTTATACTCCATGTATACTCCCGTCGGGCTGAACACAATCCCATTGTACCGGAAAGAGAAAACTTGTGGACCGAGTAGTTCGCAGACGGGAACTGGCTGTGGTCGAGTCGCGGTGAGCTTGATGTAATGAGGGAGAACCAGGCTCTGGTAGAATTGTAGTTAATTGTGTGAGGAAAGGGGAGTTTCCGATCGAATCAGCTTTATATAAAAGTCACAGTTTCTGGACTCCAGAACCCCGAGGAGTTTCGCTCCAAGACAATCGGAGAATTGATCAGAAGCACAGACTTCGGGGAAAAACTCATTCAAGGACCGTGATATATCATAGAAAGTTTCTATTAGAAACTAACGGCATTGGTCGCGGACACAATAACCAGTAGCTTGCTCGTAGACACCCACAAACCCGAAGACCAGACCTTCACCGAAGTGGCTGTCAGTCGCAACATACCCGCAGAACTCATCTAAACCCTTATCCTCATAGTTATCACATGCATGCTGCACCTCGCCGATGGCGTACTTCAGCATCCTTGTTGATAGCTGTTCAAAACAAGTCTCAATCTTGGGAAAAGTTTCACATGGGCAGTAGTCGAGCTTGGTGAAGTCGACGAGTCGTCCGGGGACGATAGGATTGAAAAAGGCGTTGTAGGCGTCCTTGGTCGGACACTGATTAGTGCCGATGCATGTAGAGGTTGCGAGTTGAAGAGCACGCGAGCGCACGAAGATGTAACCATTCAAGACCTGATCGAGCGAGGCGATTCTCTTCTTGAGGTGAGCACAGAACTCGTAGGTTGATAAGGAGTCAGCATTCCCGTCTCCCTCGCAAATCTCAGTGATCTGCTGGATGAAATACGCGTTGATGGCCGTACTGTGAATAGTTTTGCATTTAGAACAGAACCGGTAGCGATCCCTTCCACTTGCAAGATCTCCGTCTCCGAGAACCTCATCCAGCTCACGGCTGTTGGGGTTAGGCGGTGGAGGAGCCTCCATCAGGGCTTTGTCTATGAACTTGTGGACATCCGGATTACCAAGGAGAGCCGTGAAGTTTGCAACTAGATCGTCAGCGAAAGGATCAGCCTGGATGCTCAGGACACCGGCGATGGTTGCGAAGATATTCAGCAGACGAGCCATAGATGGTAGGGGTGAGTATACTGGAGACGAGGACAAGCCAATCGAAAGTTGAAGAGAAGCTCTCGATTGGGCCTCGTGGGAACTTCCTCACACGAATAACAGACAAAGCCGGGCTGCTTTGCGCGATGAGCAGCGTCACGTCACTCCTGAAGGAAGAGCGGGGCTCATGGAGACTGGTCTCGCGTGCGGTCGCAGCTAAATTAACGTAACGAAATGTACGGAGTTGCAGTTCCAATGGTGATAACTTATCAGTGATAAGACTCTCTCTCAGAATCCGCGGATGAGATGTTCCTTTGTCGAGATTCTCATGATCATGCGAGCGACGAGTCCGCTGTCATTTGTTAGAAATGTAGAGGAGAGTTGTAGGACATGACGGACTGAAACTCAATTCTCAAAACGTGAGGCGTGACAAGAGTGGGTGGCGCAACATTGGTGGCGCAACATTGGTGGCGCAACATTATGACGATGTATTCACCTACAATGAGACAACAACTGAGATATTATTCACAGAAATTTTCAAAGAGCATCAGCACTATCAGTTCGTTGGTGGTATCGCATGCACTTCCTGCTTTGAACTCCCTCTACCGCGCTGATTCCCACTATAATACTCGCGTTCTCATAACTTGTCTACATTCATGATTATCAGCTCCCTCAACAGATGAATTGTTCCTTGCGAATTGAAACTCCCAATCCGGGAGAAAAGCTACTTGGAGCGCGCATCGGTCAATGGCTTGTAGATGTTCTCTACTCAACGATTCCTGTTGATGAGACTCTGCCATCGAGCCAACAGACTGCTAAGGAACGTTGGGACGATTGGAATACGAGACAAGTCCCGCAAAGAGGATAATCCTCTTTACAGAATCATTCTGTAAAGCCTCTATACAGCATGAATAGAAACTCGATTTGAACTCCACGCTGATCTATGATCTTAGATCATGAACCCAACACGCGAAGAAGCGCAAGATTCGGATTTCTACGACCAAATGAATGGTAATAGAGACCGTGTGACATAATCTTCTCACAGAGACATGGTGCCAGAATTCGCTGGAACGGGAGATGACCCAGTCTCTTTTTCGGCAAACATGACATCGATCGCTCCGCTGGCACGCATAGGTTAATCGCCCAGGACACTCCACCGAGTGTCACCGGATTTCACCGATGTCACCTAATAAAAAGTAGTGCAAGTGCATGTAAACAGTAGAAAACGGCGCCGCGCAAAGCGCGGCGTCAAGAAATTTGTGACTGTTGTGGTGTAGTGGTTAGGGTTCAAGTTAATCATGTGGGTCGCCTAGGTTCGAATCCACGCTAGGTATATAATATACAAAAAAAACTCCCGCTTCTTGCGAAATAAAACGAAGTAATCAGTGGTTACTACGAATAAACGAATACCTCACGTGGACCACGTGACGTGGTTACAAATCACGTGAGGTATTCGTAGTCCGAAATTAATAGTTTCGGCTCGTGAACGCATTCTTCCGGGATAGTTCAGCTATTATAGTTGTATTATCCGAGGCAAGCAGCATCTTGTACATTACCCCTTTGCTCCTCCACATCGGCAGTGATTGAGCCACTGCGCGCCACCCAGTAGACAGCACGTATGTACAGCTTGTTACAGGTGGAAGTTATACGGCTCGGCTTGATTGTCCCAGAAACTGGCTTTGCTTCGCCTGCTTCGAGCAAGCCCATTCTACTACTGCTTGCCCGCTATTCTCTCCCCGACCGGGAGTGTGTTCCCGTGTGTATATATTCGCGCAGAGCGCATGCATGCGGCTGCCGCGCCGGGTTAGGCGGACATCGGTCGGGTTACGTTTGGGTCAGTCGCCTTTACTTTACTTTACGCATGATCATTGAAGTCGCTGTGCCTGAGAGCTGTCCCTTTTCTCGTTGATACTGAAGTTACTGGGTTACTAATAGAAAATTACTAGTGACTAGAGAACGATGCTGAGATCCACGAACCTTTGCCTGAGCTTGAGCGTTAGAACGAGTTTCCATGTTTGTGTAGGTGACAAGAGGAATATTCTGAAAAGCATTATTTAAGGATGTTGTGGACAGAAAGCCAAACAGATATTCCAACTCCCAGGGTTGCAATATCGTAGTGTAGTTGAGCGCCGACGTTGCTAATCTCCCTTTCTCTAGCTTTTCAATTATAGGGAGTCCCTAGTACGGATAATTATTAACACAATTAACTGCCTTCACAGGTACGGCTCTTGTGTTGTCCTCGAAAACCTCCGTGGCAGTCGATTATAACTGTTTGTCCTGGGATTATGATGACTATCACGCTTTAATGCTTCATGCTTATGACTGTTATGCTTAATCAGACGCAAATAATCAGTGTTTCTTCATCACGAATTCGCGCAATAATGTGTCGAGTTTGCAGTACTAGTCGTGTCTCGAGTTCTGGTCCCCGCGTTGTATTCAAAGACTAACACTACTTGATAAACACAAGACGCAAGAGAAAGAACAAGTACGTTATAAGACTTTAATGAACAAATACAAAAAACTATGAGCCATCCAAGGATCGAACCTGGCTCATTAGCATGCTGTACCAATGCACTTACCACCACACCACAACAATTACAAAATTCTTAACGCCGCGCTTCGCGCGGCGCCGTTTTCTACCGTTTACATGCACTTGCACTATTTTTTATTAGGTGACATCGGTGAAATCCGGTGACACTCGGTAATTATTCCAATCGCCCATCGCTTAGTACACGTGCCCCCGTTGCGGGATTATTAAACGGATTATGGGTTTATGATGTTGATAGTAGCTCTATTATAGTTAGTATCACTATCATTTCCTAACGGGTAACTTCGTAGACAACGACACTCTTGAGTTCGCACTGGGAAGACTCGATCCTGAGCCAAGTGATACCGCAATAGAAAAGTGCAGAGGATCGACATCGCCGGGGCTCTTCAGGCCTCCCTAAAGGACCTGTTGCCTCTCTACCCTCTATGTCAGCTGAAGTCACCTCGGTCAAGCACAGAGGGCTTGTATGGCTCGAGAAGGTGTGAGTTTGGCTCCCTCAGACGAACTTCGAAACTTCTATGCAGGAGGCTTTTCTATCGATCATATCAAATATAACCTCTCCTCAAATGGAGCAGATCACGGAGACCGAACTCTGGGCCGTAACTTGAGAACTGCTCCGTTAGGCGTACCCTGATTCCCAACGTCTTGTTCCATGACTGCTCGCCTACCAGGACTCTCAATGAAGACCTGGGTTATGCATGCGACGCCATTTTCGCTACTGTCAGCAAGCTTGAGAATCAGCTCACCGTCACAGGCTTTTGTGGTGGGTTATAGTTACCTCGATATTGCTCCCTTATTGAGCGCCACAGGCGCATGCTGCGCCTATGCTGCTATATGGTAGAAGGTTGCGGCAGTTAGACTTGGTGCAAGGCCAGAGCTTGGCAGTAGACAATAGCTCAGCTTTCTTCCACGTTGCTGCTCCGGCTCTACTTCTATCTAGAGGATGCTACTCGATTTATGACAGCAATTGCAGATACATGCATTGTGTTTCTCGTGCTCAATCGGTCTTGCGTGCAGTGAATGGGTCACGCCGAAATTGGCTGGTGGGTGTCGAAATTCTTACAAGGAGGATCTAGGCCAGCGCGATGAGTAGACCTCGACGCTATAGGCATTTGTAGTCATCCACTGATCTGAGGAAAGTTACAGACACTACCTTGATTTAATATTACTCGAAGCCTCATCTGCCTCTTGATGGCTGGTGCCGGGTTGTCAGCTTTCATAGAGGGTGGGGGGGGCCTCCACCACATACGAGCATGCTCACTCCCCGTGAACAGCGTCAGGTGACCAATTCGGCCACTCCATTGGACGGAACCGTATGCGCTTCTGACTATGCTTGGGAGCTGTCCAGGAATCGCCGTTATAGTTGTTGTTGTCCATTATGCTTCATAATGGCAGTAAGGAGGACTCTGGTGGAATGATGCTCACTGAGTAATCCGAACACTCCCTTCCCCCGATGTTCCCCTCACGTTCATCTTCAGTCGCCCTACCCCAGGTTTCTGTGCTGGCTATTCTCGGCGGCGTGCTCGGGTGAGGAACTTTCAACAAGTTGTCTTGGGCATTTTGGATGCGTATCTTTCAGTCCTTCGATGAAGATCCAATTGAAGTCCCCAACGTCGAGCGACTGTGAGTGCTGTTGCCGATTCATGCTAGGGAGGAAGAATGTCAATGTCCTTAGTTGGAGCCAGACGCCCATCGAGGAGCACGCAGTAGCTGTCGAGGGCATGCCCTCGGCCGGCGAGTGAGAGGGGTCCATTGTGTCGCTGAGCGACAGTCGCTCATGCCTGATTTCACCCTCAGCTTTTTCATCCGTCGTACAGCTTTGGCTGGCTGTCCGTCCCCTCCCGAGGCCCCCTTCAGACGGGACTTCAGCAAGGACCGTCAGTCGAGCCCAGGAGCAAGACTGAACGATGTAAGCTACCAACCCTCGTCGTTCACATGTAACTCCCGACCGGTTTAGCCTGGTGCCACCTTCCGAGTAGCTATACCAAGCATTCCCCTATCTCAAGTGAGAATCCTCTACCTAGCTTCTCTTCTGTGAACTCCTGCTACTCAGAGTTCCATGTCCAGTTCGGGCCCCGGTGGCTGCGACTCCGCCCGGAGCTGTTCCAGCTTTCTCTCATTGCCAACAAGTCGGATGCTCTCATCCTCCCAGTAAGTCACATGCCAACCCCTCGTGGACCCCTACGCTCAGTTCTACTGGACACCTAGAGTTATGCAAGGTAGGCTCGGGTGGTGACCATGACCTCGGCACAGTGCCTCGTCGGGCAAGACTGAGGCGGACACACAGTAAAGTCACATGGCTCTTTCGGTAATATTGCGGACATCAGGTTCCGACTCCGATGCGTCGATGCCAGCATGGGCCTTCAAGCGGTCTAAGGCGAACGTAGGTGACCATAGTCGTGATGGGTGCCATATGCTCATTGGGTCAGCTGTCGCGCAAGAGTAACAAGACAACTCCATGTATGATACCAGACGCTCTCGCTCGGAAGGACTGTAAGGTTGTAGACCATACCACTCCTCGCTCATTCTCTTCCTAGCGGTTGTGGGCACTACCTATGCCTGGTTCCCAGCCTCCTCGATGACACACAGCTCGACGACGAGTAATGGGACTCCCATCGAGCCTATGTGTGAGTCCTTCCGCTGAGTTCTATCATCTTCAGTGTTGGGAAATATGCACGCCGTCGAGCACATGTGGTGGTTTAGATGGGAAATTTTCGGGAGATCCCTGTTTGTTCTTGTACACTTCCATTCATGTATAAATTTCTATATAAGTGAGGGGACTTCTAAGCTCAGTTGAGGAAAGCGATCATATTTTTCTAACACTGGTCATCATTCTCGAGATTTGCTGGTCATCAGGCACGCCGCATCTACCATCTGCAACCCCTCTGTCGCTGCCTTCTGGTGTTCTCACCAGGCGAGGGAGTACTAATAGCGTCTTCAGTGGATACCCTGGGACTCCCATCGTCAGTCCTTCGACGACCGGGTGGTTTTCCCCAGGCTTTTTCTCAGGTCGCCCAGACGCCTCATACCCACATATTGACCAATCAGAAGGTGAACTCTGCATGCCCACGATGCTACTCTAATCGGGATCAGGTCTTGAAGCACCCCCCAGCGAGCGTTAGACTGCAGAGAATGCTCCTCGAGCGAGGAGGCCGAGAGTAGCCGAATGTACGCTAGTCGTAGTGCTTTCACTGGTCCAGATTCCCGGCACCGACTGTCTACAGTGGTCACGAGGTGAAACGACGTAGAATCGGCCGGGCTTCGGACTACTCTAGGTAGTGAGTTTACTGCGTTATCCTCATTCCCACGAATGGAGTGCCTCTCTGTCAGACTTCACGATGAGTTCCGTCGTTTCAAGAGGGTCGGCGAAGGGTCCTTTGCTGAGGTACTGAGCGTTGAGTGCCGCCTTGATGGGCAGAGGTGCGGTCTCTGATAGAAGAACGGGCCGGTCAGGAATCTTTAGATATGCGATAAAGCGGCGACTCCGACCCTATCGCGGACCAACCGAGCGAGAACTCATTTTAAGAGAAGCGCGTGTAGCTGTGTTTGTTCCTACGGCTCGGCAGATGTTTTGTAGATGCTCGCTATGATAAGCCATTCCGCTGACCTCTTTGGCCCTGAGACAAGTGCCATGGCCTCCCACATAACGCGTTATTTTGGATGCTGGTTTGAAGGTGAGCCCTCATGGTGTTCCAGCTGACTCGTTCTCCTTAGATGATCAACTGCATATTCAAACAGAATTGTGCGAGGAGTCCCTCACTGCTGAGATTAAGCGGTCTGGTCGGTTGTCTTACGACAAGCTCACTGTGGTCCTTCGGGATATCAGTTCCGCTCTAAAGTACCGCCCGGGACTTCTGCTGGTGTGACCCCACAATTTCAAGATTCTTGCATGTGGACATGCACGTAGCGCACAAGGACGTGAAGCCCGACAACGTTTTGAGGATAACAACTAGCTGCTACCGCTCCAAGTGAGGGACTCTTCCTACTGATGGTAGACCATGGTCCGGTTGAGGTATAAATTATGCGACTTTGGACTGGCTACCTCCATCCACGAGAACAGTGAGGCTTCTAGTGACCTTGGCAGTGGGGATGCAAGGTGGTCCCCAATGTATAGACTCGTATTTTGACAAGTATGCTACAGATACTTGCCGCGAGAGATGCTCTCCTGCCATGCAGATCGGCCGCTAGGGAATGATATGGTTAAGGTGGACATCTTCTCCCTCGGTGCATCAGCACTAGAGTGTGGTGGGCCTGATGATCATCGCTAGAGCGACGTCAGCAGCCCACGGTAGGTATAGGCCACAGCCTGGCTCCAAATGGTGACCAGTGGCAAGCTATCCGTGATGGGAATTTACCCTTTGAAAAGATGGACCAATTACCGTCAAAGTTGACCGAGCTTATCAAGGCCATGCTGAGTCCGGCGCCCGAGGTGATTGGGATATCGCCATACCAGAAGCAGCATCTGACTGTTCAGGCCCGACCTGATGCTGAATCGATTCTGGCAAAATTGAACTCCCTATAAACCATTGCGTGCGTTCCTTCATCATTCATGATTCTGTCTCAATCATTAACAAGAGTCTTTCGTTCCTGTCAAACAGTCCGCCCGCATCTCACGAGCCATTTTACTCTTGACACTTGGAAACAATAGTCATATCGTTCCTCGAAAGTGCAACTCGTGGGCGAATAATAACCACTGTGACCCGATGCAGAGTTATGGTAAACTTCGGTGAGAGATTAACCTTCAGAAGTATGATAGACGCGTAACATGACGGAACGTTACTGTAACTACACTCTTGCATCAGTAATGAGAGTCCGCAGTGAGAGATGGTTTAAGCTAGGGTATGGACTTGAGTCTAAACTCCGAGGTGATGCTTATGGTGGACACACTCGAGTTGCACCCTCGTTCTGTAAATCCCTACCGTAGCAGGCATTACGCAATAGACGACGCGTTATGAGTCATCACGTACTTCGGGCGTAAATCGCGGAAAGCGTGGGCACTACGCAAGCCATACTCAATACTCAACGCGGTCAAGTCGTATTTTCAGGACGCAGTACAGTATATACTGCACACCCACCGACGGTGGGCGACCGTTAAGTGTACTACACGTTTACACGCATACTAACTAGGTGGGATTACACACGAAGATGACTTGAAGGGGGTTCAATGACATTCCGCTTCGTTTCGAAGTAGTCACACTCGCCGGAGGTTTTTTTTCACGTGTCGCCGGTGCTAGTACACTCTGGAAAGTGGTTTGATAAATGATGTTGGGTTATAACCTCTCGAGTCACTTCATTTCGTTTTTTTCGCAGAAATTGCAGATGGTTGAAACTTCTCCAAAGTGGGAAATTTCCCATATCTCCACGAATTGCAGGGATATATCATGAAAACCATTTCGGAAAATTATTTTTGACTGATAGGCAACTTCTCTCCCCCTCGCAGCGGACATGTAACGAATAACGATTGAGATCTCTCTTGTCACTGTCACTAAGACTTCCCGTCACAACACAACTCAATCCCAGAAGAATTAAGCACACTATGAACTGCACTTCCACGGTAGTGACAGCCCTACACTAAGCATTAGTCAACCAAGTCATGCACATTGGGAACAACACCCACTCCGGTCGAACCTCGGTTCCCAGAGAACTGTCTCTGTAACTGACCGCTCGTTAATTAGCCCTGAGGAGAATCCTCAGTGACGATTGCATAGTTCTCCGACTTCTCTCGCAACTTGGCAGCCAAAGCCTGCACAACACGATAAAAACATGCAATCTTCGCCAAACCCACCTTCCACTGCTCATCGTCTATGGGCGCGCGCGTCCTACTCTCACCCAATAATTTATTCGCCCTGAACGGCGAATAAGTGGTCCTACCTTTCGAAGCGAAACCTCACTTCGGGACCACCACCCTATGATAACTCCCATGCAAAGGCAGCGGCGTTACGTCACCAAAAACCGTGCGCTGAGGGGAGAAGACACCGCTCCTCAGTCAGGGTCGTTCACTCTTCTACATCAGGATCTCCATGCCAGCTGGAACGACGTTTCGGCCTGGTCTTGGCCTTGCCTTCCGACACGAAAATACCGTGTGATGCCCGAGCTGTCGGAGACGCCGGCGGAGGACCTAACAACAAGCACGGCTTCACCTAGGTCTTAACCTACATCCTACTATCTTCAGCCACCTCCTCCATTGCCGGTACGTAATATCTATATACTTAAATGGTCAACTTGAGGTCAGGCCACAAGACTACAATTCATCATGCCATTTACTCGCTTTGTGCGTCAACGAGATGGAACTCCTCTGAGCTTGCTCTCGTGCTCTAGTGCAATATCTGTTACACATAGAGACAAGCTGAAAGTACGGAAAACCAGCTCACCCTTCCTGGGCAGGTCTCCCCTCAGCCCACTTGCCTTCAGCTGAGCCACTCGGCAACCTGACGAGGACGATGCCGGACTTCGCCACATCACGATGATACCCACTCCAAACCTCTTATAGGTGCGATAACCCCATCGTCGTCGTATGCGATTGATTCCTCTTCCCTTTTCCGTTTACGAATTGAGACCATCAGCCTCGCTCTTCTCCTTGCTGACTGTTGCAAGAACTGCTCAAGTCTAAGGGAAACCAAAGTATCATCATAACAAGCAGCCCTCGACCACTCACTGCGCCTCTTTGCGCTTGAGCTCAAGTGCTCGATCAGCGTAAGAGGGCGATGTGATACCCGGCAGCAAACTCCGACTCCTTGCTAAGCAGTCACACGAGTGTCTCGTCAGTGACGCGAAGTCGTGTCGGCCTGCCCAGGAAGAAACGGCTTCGACCAACCATCGCTGTGCTAGCCAACCTGGCGTCCTCGCCACTGAATCAAACCGATCTTGTCCACGGCCGGGGGGATATCGTTCCTGCCGCAGCAAATGAGCAAAGCGTTTGTGTTTGCCTCGCTACCGTCAAAGACTCATCAGTTTGCGTGCCAGCCGTAGCAACGGGCGTGCGACACACTCTAGGCTGCCTGAAGTAAAGAAGTGAGCAGAAGGGCATTCTCTGAGACTACCTGTTCCACGATGTCCGTTTCTTCCGTGGCGGCGATGCAGCCGAATCGTCAGAGTCCGACAGAAGTAAAAGTTCCTCAGAAGACTACATCAACACAGAACTCCAGTTTAACTGCACGAGGTCGCAGACTTACCCTCTTCGGCCGGGCGTTACGGAACGGACTCGCCTGAAGATGTCAACGCGGAACTTTTACTGATTTCCTCTACCGAAATCAACTCACTGTCATTTTCGGACTGCTCGTTTCTTCACTGCCGCGCCCAATCGCCCCAACTGCGTCTTCGACACACCGCTGCGCACCAGCCGGAGAGGATCCCTGAGAAGCAGCAACCTTGCTTGATGTTTGCCCGACAGTTAGCTCACCCGAGGGGATGCCCGAGCCGTATAGGGTAAGGGTGCCGGCGATTCCGGTGGGTCAACACTCGGGTACTCCAATTTGTTTTCATCGAGAACTGGGCGCGTGCAAGCACCCCAGCTGAGCCTACTGGCGTTGGGCTCTTCCTGTAGAGTAGTGACATACAAACCCGTCTCGCGCATCCCACCTGAGGCTGGGTCATCAGAAGTGTGTTGGTGCGGCTCTTGAAGGCCACATCTAGCAGACGGATAAGTCAAAACAGGACTGTTTCTATAGGCCCACCTTCCTCAGTATTGACATCCAGTGCGTAGCGCTTCGCCTCGGCTGGCATGCTCATCTGCTCTCTTCTCAAAGGACTAGCTGATCTGCAGTATTGCGTCGTGGTGATACGAGATGGTACTGGCGACGTGTATCGAATTATACGCCTGAAGATACGACCACTCGAAGCGGTAATAGGACTCTCCTTCCAAGGCCTACCTCGAAACGACCCTCCCTGGCGAGGCTAGAGACATTCCCGAGACTGGTGATGGCGCTCTAATTGCTGCACTCACGGACCGAGCCGGCTGCAGCAGCGATTGACCAGCGTAGGTACTCTCGAGAGTCTTACCGTGAGACCAGTAGGGCCACCGGGGAGGGGGGAAAAGGGCTGACGCATCACTGCTGCGCTGGCTGACCGTATCTGAATTGCGCAGAAGTGTCCGAGAACCACAGAGAATGCCCTTCCACCTGATACGGGCTGCCAGCGCGAACTGCAGACGATGGCGAAAGAGCTGTCGGGGTCATCCGTCTCTGAAAGCGAGTTGCAACATCGCGGAGTGGCCCCATACCGTCACCATACCAGCAACGGGCTGACAGCACGTCCCTGTAGATAGGGCGACACGGAGAACTGCGATAGTGGGCTAGGGGGATAAGCGTTCAACCTAAGGAGAGCAAGCCTGCGCCGTCGGCCATATACGAAAGAACAAGGGACCTCTTCTTGACGCTACTCCTCCCACGAACATTCCAGAAGTTGGAGACGTCCGAGTCGTTCTCATCGTCAGCCTAAGATGACGCGATGTAGGGAACAGCGAATCGTACAACAACGCCCCACATAGCGGAATATTCCGTCCCCGTTGTTGATCGCGTCAATAGCCTCAGAGGATCCTGGAAGGATCGATCGGCGGCTGTCAGGCTGACAAAAAAGCTCTCTTCATCTAGGCTGCCTCGACACGGCCTCACCACAGGCAGCACTTCCAGAGAAAATGGTTCGATATCTACCTCGGATAACACATCTTGCGAATTAGGGTAGTAGTTCCTGAAAGTACACGGAACGCTAGCTTTTCTCACATGAGTCAACTCGTTACACTTCAGGCCGGTGCCGCGAGCCGCGATGCTTGTAGTTCTTGACTGATTTAACTTCACCCTCGATCGCTACACCACCAACCGAGGCTCTATTCATTCGCATCTGAGACACCAATGGAATACACATGTGAACCGGACACAACACGACCAACTTCAACTTCAGACGACTTCTCGTTGGTGGTCAACGAATGGGAGTGCTGCGACGCTGACATGGATGGCGATAAGAAAGAACTCAACAACTACGACAGGCAGTGAATTGAGAGGGCTAATGAGCACCTGAGAATCGAAATGCCGGCAACTATTTACCGAGCGCCTTGGTCACGATGAAACGGTCGGCGCGCCGAAAAGACATGCCGACCGAAAACGAATGTGACCTACGTAGATAAAGAGTCAATGGAGCTTTAGAAGCAGTGTTGAATCGCCGAACTTGCGTGCCCCTTGGCATTCCTGGGAAGTTGCCTTGATAATTGTTAGACCCAGCACTTCCTTGCCAGGACGTCAATACGCCAACGTGGAAGACATACGAAGAGGTCTCAAGCCGATGACCTCTCTTTATTTCACTCAACAAAATCACGCGTCTATAGCCGCGATCCATCCCTCGGGCTCATCAATTGATCAGCTCTACACTAAACACGACATTAAGGAGTATGAAGGATCAACATAAACTCTGAACCACCCGTCTTCACATCCACCTGATAGAGTTAGATCCGTGACAATGAAAGGCACAAGACGACCAACGTGTCACTGCTTGCGGGACACGAGAAGAGCTATGGAATCTGCTCCACTCGACTCCTTGATCATACGATTACACGACGCCTTGGTGTTAGTCGCATACGAGAGAATCGTCCCATCGATGGTGGAAGTTCATCCTGTTGGACACATGAATGTTAGCTCGTGATAGAAGGCCGTTATCACATCACAAGCAGGAGACGATATACCGAAAGGAGTACCCCTACTGTCAGTGGGGGGAATTGGAGTGGACTAAGTACAGGAGGAAGATGGCCGATCGATCGACCATCTACAGTATAGTGTAGACTCTACACCTCTTTAACGCCTATTTCGCTTCCAATAAGACAAATTTCATGGGGCGGGGCGCCTATGCCATAACTCGAAGATATGCTTTGATATGAACGATTTCATCGGGCGGGGCGCCTATGCCATAACTCGAAGATATGCTTTGATATGAACGATTTCATTGGGCGGGGCGCCTATGCCATAACTCGAAGATATGCTTTGATATGAACGATCCCATCGGGCGGGGCACCTATGCCATAACCCCAAGATATGCCTCGATTCAAACGATTCCATTCGGCGTGACACTTATGCCATGACCCCAAGATATGCCGTAGTACAACAATTCCGCAGGGGTACGAGATTGGGAGATCATTTTCGTTCGCACGACAGAACTAACTTCCAATTTCGGCGATTCATGAAAAACAAAATCAACCACATTGATCGGGAGGGAACGAAGGAACATCAAGAAGCCTCCTTGAAGAAGGAGGCTATTGATGCCACAACTCAGAAATACAATATGACTCCAGAGTAAGAGATCGCACTTCCACCAGGCTGTACTCAGATAACCCAAAGCCACAAGGTTGATAACAACAAGCCTACGATAGAAGTCTAAGACTGAGCATGCCATGGAGCATCAGACCACTTCCCTCAAGCTCCGCTTCTGTCCAAGTAGCGCTTCAGCTCTTCTTGCCTTGTACTGAGGTAGCACGAGAGAAATCTCGGCAAGAACGATCGAGTGGTAGCTCTACCCTTTTTGGGGACGGGGGGCCTTCATCAAAGCTGGTCACTTCGGATTGTAGCGCGTAACCACCTGCCAACAACACCCGTCTCGCGCAGGACCTAGCATACCATACCTACCCGTATCTGTTGCCTCGCTCCAGCTCCGCTGAGAGTCACTCATCTGACACCAAGACGTTTCCAAGAGCAAGCTCGGCTGGAATATACCTTGGTCCGTGTCACCGCCCCCTGTCTTGAGCGTTGCTTTTCGGGGAGTCTGTACTGGTCCTTCCACCTAGCAAATAGCCCAACTTCTACACTAGGTAGGCCGCTTGGACCCACCATTCATAGACAGACACCACAGCCCACACCACAAAACTGATTGCTATGCCTATCTCCAGGTAGTACATCACCAGATTGCTGAATTTTGTACCCGACCTAGATACTCGAGAATCGTTCGCCATGCTGCGCGACGTCAGCATGCTTACACTCCGGAATCAGTAGTTCTAGGGGAGATGGATGCCGCTGCTGCAGTAGTAGCGGACGCCGCAGTAGGCGAGGGGGCTGTCGCCAAAGAAGGTGAGGTGGGTGGAGCCACAGCAGAGGGTGGTGGAGACGCTGAAAATGATAGGAATGAGTGCGCTCACAAATACTCCACAAGGTGAAGCGCATCAGCACATGATCCAACGCTATGAGACGTCTCTAACTACCAAGCATGTGATTCTCACCTTGCTCGACACCAGCAGCCGTGGTCCGAGAAACGGAAGATGTCGGAGCGGAAGTTGCTGCCGTTGATGTAGAGGCAATGGTAGTGGCCGCGACTGTTGAGGCTCCAGTCGACGTGATGGCAACTCGTGAGGTCGGCGCCACAGCTGTAGGAGTCGGCGTATCTAGGGAAGATTGATAAACCCACGAAGTCGAGTCGAGATGAATCCGACGGGCCGAAGCCCACATCGAGCTTGCGAGCCAGAGACAGCTGCACGAATCAACATACTCAGGACTGCTTCCAAACCACGCGTCTTCCTGAGCATGTGCTCCGCCGAGTGCATCGTCGATGTAATATGAGCGATCAGAAGGGCAGCAGCCAGCCGAAATGACGTCATGAGGGTATAACTTAGCAAGTAATAGCTACAACAGAGTCGTCAGAATGAGGATCAGTTTTGCCGACCCATGGCAGCGCCTCGGACAGATGGGTAAGGTCAATAGGATAGGAGTATGAACCCAGGTCAGTTTAGCAGGCGTGGCACGCGATCTCTGAAGTGTATCATAAATAGTAGCCAGCGCATTCGGCGGAGCAGCCCACCGACACATCTCAGCCAAGCTCTGCAGTTCCTGCAATCCCCTGAAACGGGACTCCTCCCCAACACCCACCCCTGTTACAGCGCAACCCTACTCTCAAGCCTCAGATAAATCCAACAAGAACTTCACGACTGATTATACTGCTAGTGGTGTTGATGACGGCACACATGGATAAAGCGTCGAATCAGTATCCAACGACTACAACGACTACAGCGTTCAATGATACCTGTTTCGTGCGGTTCGATGATCCGCTGGCAGAATTGTGTGATGATCAGAATTTTATCAAAATAAAATGATTAACAAATGTAGTTGAAAAAAGCCGAAAACTCTCGGAAGTTCTCGACAATTGATTGTCAGAATTCATCATCAAAATCTTCCCCCTCCAAATCGTCTTCATCCTCGCCGTGCACATCCCCATCAGAGGAATACTCCTCACACTCGTGAATCTCAGCTGGGGGTATCTCAAACGAATGGCTGAGACCAGTCATGTACCTGATCCCGATACGCTAAGATTCTTTCAAGACAATCGCATCCCGTGGCAGAGTCGATGGTGACAGGTTGGTGACATCAAGACCATACGTGGACACTCGCGAAATCACACCAGCATATCCTCATTAGCATGCGCTCAAGCGGATGCACTCCTTTGCGTTAGTAAGTCCATGTTCTCGCGGTTATTCACGAGAACGCGATTCCCGTGAGAGAATTGGAATAGTAGAGCTCCGTCCCATACCCCCCAATCCTCACCTAGCTCGTATAGGACCGCTAACCACGGCAAGTGCCCCAACTATAACGTATGAGACCATGAACTTCATATTCTCAGGGGCGTTACTGAGTATCTGATAAGAACCGAGAAAGCCTCGTTGTATCCATTTAACTCCGGCTTGGACTTGCTACAAGATACAACTTGTTATCTGCTAACGTCAAGCATTGTAAAACTATCGATTCACGAGCTGCATCAAGATGAAAGTTCATAATCATCGAGCTTTCGACCCAACCTCCTCAATGTGAGTCGTCATCCCATCGGGATAAGGCAGCTGAGTCAAGCAGCGAGGTTCCTTACCGTTCGTAAGTCCCTTAGAATTCCCTGCACAGCACCGAGTGTCCTCGAACTCTGTGGCATGTCCTGGTAAGCCGTGCCATCAATGAGCTCACTCGTCCTTTCCCACCTCGGTTCCTCCTATGATCGCCTCGTGAATCCTCATAAACGGTGTGCCATCTGGTGGGTAAAACTGTCGCCGCTGGTCCGCCGTGAAGTTCTCGGTAAACATCGAGCGGAGCTCCGAATTCAACATCACTGATTCCAAAGCGCATCCAAGTAAATCTAAAAAAGCCCTTCGTACGTAATTGTGTCCGATCCATGTCCACCAAAGTGTCCTCTTCCACGTAAACTGACTGTCGAGCCATCAACTGCCACACCTGAGTGTTGACCCCAGTGTACAAGGCCCCTGTCCCCAGCGACTACCTCTAAGCTGAGATGCTGCATGTCTCGCCTTGTAATCTCTACTTGTGATACGCTTGCTAGGTCTCTTACATTGACGGGGTCAATGGCACCAGTGGACTCGAGGAACTGAGAGAGCCTACTACTACTGCCATTGTAAGTGGTAGAGTTCGAGTCACCTTGACCATCCTGTCGGCCCGCTCCAACACGCTGTCCTGAATGACCTTACGACTCACTGGATGCAGAATCGGACGAGCTTGTCGGAGCATGAACTGCAGAGTGGTCACGGAGAACCCTGAGACCGAGAATATGCACGCATGCACAAGCCTGAGTAGAGCATACCTCTTATGAACCTGTCATCCTCGCGATACGAGAAGAGAAAGTCTATCTCATCGCTGGCCTTCCGACTCCCATCACCGACATCAAGCCAAATTCGTTGCTAAGGCGTACCCCATCATCAACCAAGACGGTCCTTGCCGCCCAACTCCTCCTACCAGTGAAACCGGATCCTGTGGATCGTCACATTTGCAATAGTCGTTGAAGGCAGGACCACAGAGCTCTTCCGTAAGACCGCTTGAAGCCCTCGGCGATGAACCTCCCTCGTGCGCTTCTGCCACCGAGTGACAATCTGAAGAGTTTATACCATCAACCCGATAGGCCTGCAACGGCGATAGACGAGAACCGATCAAGCCCAGCAGGAACATGCGAGAATCGCCAACTGTCTCTTAGGGAGGGGGGCCCACAGCTTACTATCGCTAGAGCTAGTGGAACAAGATATCTTCCTTTTCTTCACATCCGAAGAACATACATTCCGTCGAGTACCACGTGGTGAATTCTTACGCCGAACCTAAGACCGCTGCTGGATCCAAAAGCAACCACGAGAGGTTGGTACCCGCTTCCTGCCTCGGGGTCCGCTCTCGCTGGGAACTGCAGCATAGTCGTCGGCCGCTGACGCACCAGAGGATACTGAAAGCGATACGCGTGCTCGAGAATAGTGTGGGAAATTATGCACATGGTCAACTACATATGTTGGTGACAATATAAGATTTCTGAATTTCGGAACACTCTTGTTGGGTTTTGAGCACTTCTACCATAATTCGCGCGAAAACTCCTGAACTCAGCCGAGGAAATCGAACATATACTCCCCAACACTGGCCGAGAAAGGTCCAATAGGCTAGGCCGCTACCTTCGTCACAATCCGAACAGAGGCTGCTATCACTGTGACAGTAGTCATAAGAACGCTGAGTCGGCCTGAAGGGAATCTAAGGCCTCCTCAGTGGATACACTCATTATGGAGGTAGTACATTTTGGCCGACATTAACATTCCTTTCCGCTCCTCGGGGGACTCAGAATCGCGAGGGCCTGAGTCACAACCCTTCAGCGTAAGATACTCTGTAAACGCCTTCCCAAGAAAACCCTAAGTGCGACCGCGAGGCTTCTTCAGAATGGATGCGAATGCCAGTCGCCATTCACATTGACAATGACTATGTATAGGGCAACTACTGCTTAGCCTACCATGATTGGAGCCCTGCGAGCCCGATGAGGCCTGATGTTCATCAGAATGCCGACTCATGTGGCGAGACAGAGTTTAAAAAAAGGGACTCAACAGTGAGGTGAAACATATCCTTGTATTTTGCCATCTATTCACCCTTGGGAGCTTTCCATGGACACCATCCAGGGTTCAGCTGCCCAAGCAAGAACACCATTTCTATGAGGGTGATGACCTCACACTCTGCGTAAGTTCAGAGCTCAAGTACACTACTACGTTAGATGACGTTCCCAAAGGAATTGGATCTTCGAGCGGCCCATGACGCGCAATGAGGTTGGGTGATCGCGCACGCATCGATGATCCATACTGATCGATAGCTGACTGGCCACGTCTCCGCTGCAGCTCAGCAACATCGATGCTAGTCTATCCTCAATCAGAACCCATTCCTAGCGGTATGCGGTTTAGTCGATTCCGGTACGAATTTTTGACAGAGGACGTCCGTGTGAATGGGAAAGAAGTGTCCACGGGATCTTCTCAACGGTGACGGCCTCAATCCTCCTATATACAATCCGTTGATGGCCCTTGAGACCGAGGAGGAGCCTATTGAACACGAAAGCCTTTGCGTGTCGTCGAGAAAGAATCGCAACTACTGGCAATATGTGCGTCTCTGCATTGGGGGTATTTTTTCCTCTGGAAGGTGTGCGTTATCATCTTGCGCAGTGTTCTCGGGGCGCCCGTCACAATAGCTAGATGATTATTCGGCTGCTTTAGAGCACCCTGTGGACACGAAGGAGCGTTTCCATTATGTCGTTCAAGCTAGACAACTTGTCCAGGACAAGAGGCCACCGAGTAAGGTGCTGAATCATTCAACACCAATTACGGCGACTACCGATATTGATCTCGAATTCGGGAGAGAATGAGTTTCTTGTTCGCGAGATTGATTCTTCCGAGACGTATTTCAATGCTCGCTCGCCAATACCGGGTGAATCGCAGCTCATACAGTGATCAATTCGGACAATATGTGAAAGCGGTTCACGTGCTTGAGGAATTCAATTCCAACCAGTTGCGGTTGGGGTAGAAACTGTCGTATCAATACAGATAGTAGAAACACCAATTATACCATGATGGATATGGAGTCAACTTGCCGAGACATCAGTTTTTCACCATCGTCTTTATGGCGAGCATCTCTAGCCTAGAGTTCATCCAGTCGGGAGAAGGTAGGCTACCAGTGCTGGTTGGAAGCTCTCCAGTACTGTCAGGTCAGCCTTTCCTCCGGGTCCTCGACCAGTCGTTACTGCCGCATGAGATAGCCTACATTGATTGTGCGGTCAAGGAGGACGTTTTCAACGTCATAAAAACGATGAAGGTATGCATCAAACAAAACACGTTTCAGCGGGCTCAACGGCAGTCTTTGAATACGGTATAGAGGAAGTGCAGGTGCGCGGCGCCCCGGCGATAGGAGCCGCTGGTGGATTCGCCATCGCATTAGAGGCGTTAAGACTGCAACAGGAGCATGGAAAAGTGAAGTATAGTACTCTGCTCGAGGCGAAGGAGTATATCGACAGGCAAGTGGCGCTGTTGACTTTGAGAGGCTGTTCGGACATGGATCGTCATAGTGCTCGTCCGACTGCTGTTAATCTGAGCTGGGCGACAGGAGTGGTGCTTTCGAGGGGTCTGCGTGACGGTGAGGTGGATGTGAAAGAAATTGTCCAAGCGGCTAAGATGATTTTCGAGGAGGACATCAAAACTAATCGGATGTGAGCAATTCGGAGGGTCCGACCGTCGCAATCGAGGCGCAGGTTGGGCGATAATGGAGCTGCTCATATACTCGACAGACGCGGCAAATCTGGAACTATAAGACTCTTGCATCATTGCAATACTGGTGAGCGTGTCAGCTGAAGTCTACTTCATCCGTCAGTATAGAACGCTCGTCCCCCTGTCAGGCTTTCTAGCTACTTGTGGCCATGGCACTGCCTTAGGGGTGTGCTACAGTCTATGCGAAAGGGTTGGAAGAGAAAACACCATGGTAAACAGGATGTAAGACCGTCGGCTTTGCCACCGCCGTGACCATAGGTGTACGTCGACGAGACCAGACCACGCTTGCAAGGCGCCTCGCTCACTTGCTTCGAACTGCGTCATCGAGGAGTCCCTCATAAGCTCATCACTGACGGCATGTCTGGCCATGTAAGCTTCACAAACAGCAACAAACAGCTCGAGGGGAAAGCAGTAGCTTCAAGATAATGAAGTCGATTTCTGTGGACGCGGTGCTCATCGGTTGCGATCGTGTAGCTGCTAATGGCGATGTGGCCAACAAGATCGGCACCTACAACCTCGCCATTGTTGCACGGTGAGCCTCCGTTGGGAGGGTCTTCACTGATGGATCAGACCGAGCCTGTTAGGTATCATAAGGTGCCGGTGTACTGTTGCATGCCCTCTTCCACGTTGGATCTGTCATGCAAGACGGGCGCGGACATTGTCATTGAGGAGCGCGACGCTTCGGAAGTGACCATGGTAGCTACCACTGAGTCGTGTTGGTCGCTACTGTGCTTGAGTAGGTTAACGGCAAGCTCATCTGCCCTGACGGCACTGAGACTTGCAACCCTGCTTTTGATGTTACGCCGGCTGAGCTCATTACCGCCTTCATTACTGAGTGAGAGAAAGCGATGGGTGCTTAGTCCTGTACTGTGACTTTCCCTACTCTAATCTTCTAGGGAAATACTTTGACTACTGACAATGCTCATACTTGGTCAATTATTGTATGAGCACCATCAGTAGCCGATCTTGAAAAGGTTGGATCCATTTGCTTGTTCACTTGAATGTACATCAGTTGAGAACATTGTCAGGAGGACTCTACTGGAGTCACTGTAGGAATTGACAGAATATTCTGTTTAATTATGTTGTTACACTGGGTACTGTGTGAATACCCGAGAAGATCCCTTCCCATGCTTCATCCGTGCATGAGACAGGTGATTTGCTTAGGCACGGAGTGATTGAGGGCCCTCACTACACCGAGTCCTGGCAGAGGCTTCGTGAGTGACAAGCGCTTGTGTTATCCTTCCAGCGTTTCATGCTATTCTGCGAGTTCTGAGTTGCATTACGTGGATAACAGGTTGGATCACACACGTTGTACTGGTGTCCTGGTTTAACTAAGTCTTTGTTGATTCATTAAATTAAGAAAGTCTTAGTGAAGCCGTAATTCTCCATCACACCCTTTAAGGCTCCCCGGCGGAAGCATAGTCAGGAAAGTTCCTTGGAAATTTTACTCCCGGAAAAATCAGGAAACTTTCACGGAAGATCTCCGCGGAGCATAGAATGCACTTAACCATGCAGAGTCCTTCGGGCTCTGAACATACTCAATCCCAGACAATGTCCTCATCCTTCACTCGCTCACTTGAAGTCGAGCCGCAAGGTACAGTGGAGATGCACCTGTTAAACGCCAGATCGCGCAAATCACGATGCGATAAACGCGAAAAACTTGAAGTGACAGTCGACTCTATCACATCGCGAAAAAACGCTACTGAAAACCGCCTTTTCGCGAAAACCACGAATCGTATATCGCGTTATATCACGTTATGTGATATATCGCGTCATCGCGTTCTATTCACAGCCGAGACCTAGTGGTAACTGTGGTTTCCGCATATATTGTATATATGATATATGCAACTTCCGCGGCTTGAACCGGAATACTTCCTACAATAGTCTTGGATCTTCTCCAACTCGTCAGCACCACCTTAAATTCGTGATGTGTTTTTCACTACGTGGGGGCATCTCCAGCGTCCTCATAAACTTCATGAACCGACTAGTCCTCATAAATGAGAGGGTCGATTTTCTTTCATTCAGGATTTGAGAAAAATGCAAGGCGTAATAGGCTTGGCATATTGAGCACCCTTCATTGCGAGATTAGATGTAGGAATCAACATCACCACCCCATGTTCCCGGTGGATGAAGATAGGATGGACCATCCTACCTTCCTATACGTTCCGAGACAAGATACCAGGTATCTTGTCTCGGAACGTCTCAAGGTGAAATGCCCAATACGTTTAAGATCATCTCACACATATTGGGCATTTCACCTTACTAAGATCATTCATAATAAGTAAAACTTCTCAGGCCAAAGAACTCAGAGCTATAATTCATCTCGCCTGCGGCTCGAGTTTAAGAACTGACACGGTTGTGAATATCCGTTTGGCTCAAATTAAACCAATACGGATATTTTAAGAAAACGATGGGCCATCGTCGATGGCGGCATACCACTCCGGTGGCGCCGAGCAGGTTAGTCCATCTGGAAGGATATGTTACATGATGTGATTGCTTGTTGAGCAGGTTCATCTACGTGGCTAGGGAGATCACATGACGAGATCGGCACTCCTCCTCGTGGCGACATAGATGGTCGGTTCGCTCTGGAGACAAGGATGTGACAGAGAAAAGACTCAAAGAAGAGACGGTAAGCTCATGGATTTTTCTTGTGAAAATAAAGTAGGTTTAAGAATGTTCGTCGTATGAGTGGAGTGGCGGCCAAGATATTGACGAGAACCTGGGTATGGAAAAGGCAGCGAGTGCCACTCGGCTTTTGCAACGAAGACGGAGGAAAGTCGGATGGAATCATTCTCTATCATCAAGTACGAAAGCTGTCTCGTTGTGCCGGGTGACCCGAGAATCTCCGCGTTATGGCTTCGCCTGCAGATTAGGCGTGACCAGCATTCAAGGAGGAATTTGAGAAAAATTGTTCTACAGGAAAATGCAAGAACTCGGAGAAGAACGTTTGGTAGTCACGACAAAGATCAAAAACTCGGTGGATTGGCTTGCTGTGGCAGGCAGAGCCTCACTACCAATCCCATTTAGGTGATAAACCTTAGCCAACGCCAAGTGAGTGCCAGGAAGCCTAGTAGTTGATGCTTCATACTTTTCAGGCTTCATGCTTTTTAGGTCGATCTTCTCCTGGATTGTGTGCGTGAGGTTGTCATTCCGCCGGACACGCCGTGATCCCAGAGAGGGAGAGGGATCAATACAACTTTAGGAGTTGCCCTGGTGTGATATATACCTCCTTCGACGCACTCGGGGAAGTGTTGCCAGAGGAAGGACGGGCGTTCGAAAGTCGTGGATGGAACAAGCTCACACGACTCGCTCAAGTCAACGCGAGAGCGTACTTGCTCGGTGTGTTGCCTCGTTACCGTGCTGCACGACATAAGCGTGGATCCCACGTGTAACACCTGACGTGTTTCAAATATAAACGAGGTGCTGTCTTTGTAATCATTCTGTGAAGGGATCGTTTAGTAGTGAGCGCCACCCTCGGACTGCTGATGAACACAGGCTCCCAACTTGGGAATCCCAAGGCAGAGACGAAACCTGCTCTTATCTCAGAGGAGCACAGTGCGATACACGTTCTTAGCTATGCGCGACGCTAAGCATGAAAGCGCGCGATTGCGCTGTCTACTACAGGCATCTCGCTGTGGTACTACACATTCATAGAACTTCATTGAGTTAGTTTCCTCAGACGTAGAAGGAATAGGGAAGAACATTCCTCTGAAGAACCTTTGGCAGGAACTCCAACGAGTCCGGAGACGCTCGAGCTTCGGCAGCTGAATCCCTCCCTCCCTAACCCTCAGGCTCAAGTCACCCCAACCGCACGCATACACACCCTCAGCGACACTGTTTCCGAATGCATGCATGCGTGCGGTGGTCCGTCCGTGCATGAAATGTACTGCATGTTTTGCCGCGTACTAGTACTCCCGGTCGGTGTGCACCGATGGGAAATACAGGACTGCAACTTGCATCACCGCCTCAGCCTCCAGTGATGGGATGCAAGGATGAGAGCTCCACAATGCTGGCATAAGGAAGAGGATACCTCACGATGGGTAGCACGACAAATCAACAAACATACGAGCTCTAACACGCATAATGCGTGACGCACTAATGAATGCGTGACGCATTCATTAACTCCTACATCTAATAGACGTAGGAGTTGACGTTGGCCTTATGGTAGGAGTTGTGGGTCTAGTTTATATCCTCGCGTCTTCGGGCCTGGAAAGTTTTCAGGTTTAACGTTTAACGCGATAACCGCTTTAATCTTCTACCACTGTTGTACTTTTTTATTTTTTCGACATGGTGACCGAAACAGGCAAGTACGTAACTATCGGTGACATCCAGGTGCATGAGACTTTGAAGGACGCCGTGGATAAGAATATCCTTCCGGGTGAGTGCACTTCCAGTTAAGATAGAGTAGTCGAAGCTCTGTTCAGCCGAACTGATGATCCCTATACCGCATTGGTCTTCTGCTCGAGAAGTGTTGCCATTATTCAGGCACGGGAGTGACTACATCAGAGTTCTGGCATTATTTGGAAAAGTTGTTGGCAGAGTTCACGGCTGAGAATGCCGCCCTTTTGGCCCGACGCGATGAGCTCCAGGCAGCGATAGACGAGTGGTATCAAGGGGGATGTAAGGAAGAGCAGGAGAAGTTCCTGAAGAGGATTGGGTGAGGCCAACCTTGCTGCTTGTATGTTTCCAGCCCGAAATCGTCTGTCGCCGCTACCGTATCGATTTCGAGGTAACAGGTTGGTATCTGGTTTTCAGATATCTGGTCGACCCGCCTGCGACCAAGATCGCCATCTCGACCACGAACGTCGATCCGGAGATCTCGTCGCTGGCAGGGCCGCTACTCGTCGTCCCGATCGACAACGCTAGATACGCTCTGAATGCTGCTAATGCGAGGTGGAGAGTAGCGAGGTTTCGCAGGTGTTACTCATTTTTGGTGTAGGTGGGGATCCCTCTTTGATGCTGTTTACGGCTCCGATGTCATTCCGAGACACCCCTGTTCGAGTGGGTACGACCCCGCTCGAGGCCTCGCTGTGCTCGAGTAGCCGCCTGCCAAGTATTGTATTGGTTCTAGCTCTCAGTTGCAGGTTCGTGTTCAAACAGCTGGATCATATACTGCCTCTAGTTGATGCTCAGTGGTCTGAGCTAGCATCTATTTGGGTGGATGGCCGAGAACAGCTCGTGGCCAGTACTACCAAGGACAAGGCCACTGGTGATCCTCTCGAGTAAGGTGCTCTGCTGTTGTAAGTCTCCCTAGGACTGAAGTCGCCGGTCGCTTTCGTTGGATATCGGGGTAATGCGAGCAAGGGTGACTTGGTGTTCGTCCATAATGGACTTCATATTATCACCAAAATCCACAAGGACTCCCAGGTGGGATCTAGTCAGCACTCGAGTCACGACAGCTTGATAGTTCGTCAGGTTGGCAAGCAAAATAGTATGGGTCTGGTCGATGTCGTTGTGGAGGCTGCCCTGACTGCTATCATGGATTGCGAGGACTCAGTAGCGGCCGTTGATGCGGATGATAAGGCTCGAGTCTATTCCAATTGGTCCGGTCTTATGAGAGGTAGCGTCTCTTGCAAGTGAGTGATTTGGAGAGGCCACTTATAGGCGATCTTGAGACCTCTTTCGAGAAGGATGGCAAAACCGTTACGCGTCGACTCAATTCGGATCTGGACTTCAGAATGGCCGGGGGAGGGGGGGTTGTCACTCTGCCTGGTACAGTGCATTGTGCATATGAGTTTATATTGGGCATCTTTCAGGGAGGGTGGTCGCATTGGTTAGAAACGTCGGCATTCGTCTGAGAACGGACGCGATCTTGTGAGTATCGTCGCCGTCTTGTGGGTAGAGTATTTTGGGAAGTGGCAGGTATCGTGGTGACGAGGCTTTCGAGGGTTTAGTCGATGCTCTGGTAACCGCTACAGCTGGCTTACTTGATCTACGCCAGCTCGGTCGCAACAGTCGTAATATTCCATCGTCAACGAGTTGGTAGGATCGCCAATAGGAATTCGCCATGAGTCAGATACTGGCTCTATCTATATCGTCAAGCCCAAGCTGCATGGACCTGATGAAGTAGCCTTTGCTTGTCGAGTGTTCGATCGGGTGGAGGAGATGCTAGGACTGGCGCCAAAGACCATCAAGATAGGGGTAGGGGGCATCGTGGACAAGGGCCGTCGCTGTTAGTGGCTTGCTGTAGCTGACGGATGAAGAGCGAAGGACAAGCGTCAATCTACAGTCCTGCATCTATGCTGCTCGTGAACGTGTTGTCTGTCTTAATACTGGCTTCATGGACCGTAACGGGGAATATGTGAATGGCGTGCGCCGTATGGTGGGTTAGGTACGGGTGATGAAATCCACACTTGTATGCACTCGAAGTTGCCTGTTGCTCCAAAGGGCGAAATGAAGAAGGCTAGATGCACACAGGCTCACGAGAAACTCAATGTCATCGAGGGGCTTTCAGCTGGCATGGGCATGCGGGCTCAGATTGGTGCTAAACAGTTATAGTGAATCCCGTCTTAATCCAATCATGGCAAGGTAAAGGCATGTGGGCCGAGCCCGACTCGATGAAAGCAATGCTCGATCAAAACACCGACCATCCCCTTTCTGGTGAGGCAGTCACATTGTATATGACTGTTGTATGTTGTGTGGCTCGTGCTAGGGGCGTCAACCGCCTGGGTCCCATCACCCACTGCTGCGACTTTGCATGCTTTGCATTACCACATGGTGGATGTCTTTGCGGTGAGCTACTTACTAGGCTTTCTCGGAGAACTTCTCTGAGGAAGGCGTTCATGCGTGAGGATTGATCTTCGAGTGCCAGACAGTTTGTTTTTGTCCAGAACAGGGGGTTTACTGTTGGCGAAACACCATGTTGACGTAGCGTATCACCCTATCCAGGTCCAGAAGACAATCCCCACTGATCCAGCGATAGTCGCCCAGCTTCGTCATCAGTTATTGCAGCCCCCATTCGATGCGACTGTGGCCACGTGAGTCTCTAGCGCGCCGGGGCTGAGTGGTATTGGGGATTTGATAGGCTTCCTAAGAGAGATATCCAGCGCGAGCTTGACAACAACGCCCAGGGAATTCTCGGCTATGTTGTGGGTTGTTGGCTATGTCTATATGGGTTGACTTCGTCACCAGGTACGTTGGGTCGATCTCGGCGTTGGATGCAGCAAAGTTCCGGACATTAACAATGTGGGTCTCATGGAAGACCGAGCCACTTTACGGTAATGCCTCGCTACCACGTGGAGTCGACATGGCTCGAATACATGTAGGATATCTTCCCAGCATATAGCTAACTGGCTTGCTCATGGAATAGTCAGTAAGACACAAGTGAAGAACTCGTTTATCAAGATGAGTGCTGTTGTGGACGACCAGAACCGAGGGGATCCTCAGTAAAGAACTCTTATCGAATTCTTCGGCCTGTTGCTCCTCGGGAGACTGTTAGTACAGCATGACCTCATCATCATCGGGCATCGTTGGAGACGGGAGAGATTGTACTTACAGGTACAATGCGATGAACAGCGCCGGGACGGCTTTCGAGGCGGCGATGGATCTGGTCTTCGAAGGGGCAAAGTCACCGAACGGTTACACCGAGGAGATTCTGACGAGAGCTAGACGGGCGGTCAAGGCGAAACCAGATAAGCAGTTGAGGTTGTGATTTTCTTCGATATTTTTCAAATTTACATTTTCACCGGAATCCGGTGACCGGATGTCTTTGTTATTATGTTAAGCTGGGTTTCACGACCTGTGGAGCCCATCACGGTGGTGGTGATTCTGAATCACTGATTCACCACCACACACCGGGGTGGCATTCATCACCGATCTCCCGAGAGCTTCCGCGGGCGCCAATTTCTACCCAGAGCGATCGTACCTCACGGCATGCAGCCGCTCACCTTAACTCGTCCAGCTTTTGCGAGTGTCGTGCTCATCTTTTCTGCTGCGCGTTTGCGGCCTGCTCTGGATTTGGGGAATCGCGCGCGCCATCCTGAGAAATTCTCCATAACGGATGTTTTTCTTACCACTTGCTTGGGAATTGCGTTACTCTATATGGCAGCCATGCGATGGGTCATGTATTTGTTCCCCCTACTGGACCGCCGTTCGGCATCATCCGAGACTCAGAGAGCGGTCGATTGAATATTGGGAGTTTTCTCGCTCAGTTTTGCCTGCAATGGGTGACCCCATAGAGTTCGGAGAACTCAAAACAGCGCTCAGAGAACTGAATTTTCTGAGTGCTGTGGTGCAGATTTAGTTGAGATCAGATTTAGATGGATATGTCATATCTTGTTCTACTAGAACAAGATATGAAATATCCAATATGTCTCAGGCTCGTACAATGGGAATCCTTAGAAGGGTGATACTCTGCTGAGTTGGCATGGATCATTACAGAACATCACTGGTAGGACTCTAAAAGGCACATGACTGGTAGTTTGCTGATGACCAAAGTAATTTACTGCCTCCGACATCGTATGATGCGATGTCGGAGGCAGATGTCTGAGAAGTGATGCCAGAGGGGATAGGAAACTACAATTCTCTCTTTGATCGGGGGGAAGCAGGAACACTGATCCCATCGAAGGGATAACACTCTCTCTCCACTGAATCCTTCACTAGTCGCTGCTCTGCCCCAATGTATGATGAGCACTGATCAGTTTATGGGGTGCATCAACTGCCAGAGGTAGGTGTGCACACTACAGCGACACGGTTTCCTCCCCTGCAGACTTTCCATTAGAAGCTATCGACGACGGACTAGCGTGCAACCCAACATCGCTTTCTCTACTAGGACTCGCATCCATATCGGAGTAATAGTGACGGAATAGACCGAAGATTAAGATCCAAATAAGAACCCCTGAAGTACGTAAGATGCTCGAAATGTAACGAGCTGCAAAAATACGGACTTCCCGATTAACGTCACAGATCAGAAGTTCTGATTCAGAACCGAATATCGGACACGTCATAGACATATCTTGTAATCTCATAAGTTCTTGACTATTTCTCAATAAGTCTGATAATGAGTATACGAAAGAGAAAAGTAGACAGGATCAATCGCGAACCCTCGTCTGAATAAGCGAGAACTATAGCAGAGTTGTCAAGCCTCGAGAAGTCATCATCACACACACGTAAAGAGATCATAGCTAGCTGGTACATATCGATCGGAGGATCGACATTAGCATAAATAGAGATTAGATGTGGTCAGATTACTCAGGGATCACTGTAGTCACTACGGTGTAGTGTTCTCTTTTTCCGGGTTGGGCGGGCAGTGTTATCTCATGATCACACTTCAGCAGGGCTCCGTACTCCGCGCTGAATCGCACAACGTTCTTCAGTCTCGGTAACGCTGGTCAGCGTGCCGCAGGTCGCGGTCCGCAACCCTACCTCAGCCTCAAACGAAGCCCAAGGTCGAGCGGTACCCAAGGCGATACGATGGTGACGTACAACTCATATTTCCAAAACAACCTCGTCGATGACTGTACGTTTCCAATGTCCGTTTTCTAGACATAAGGGGTTCCTGAAGTGTGGCTATGCTGGAAGTATTGTGAAAGAGTCGCAGAATACTCATGCCGTGATGATTGTGGAGGGTGGGCATCCTCGTCATTTGATTAATGCTGATGCGCCTCTGGCAAGAGCCGGCCTAGTACCAGAGATCAGGAGCCAACTAACGTGATTCAAATGAATCAGCTTTGTGGCTATTACACACCAACGCTCTGTATATCAAGGTTGAAGAAGTAACACATTGCTCTTCTGCGTATAAGCCGCAGCAAGGCTCTTTTAATACCACTGTTGATCCACGTAAGGTTAATCCGAGCAACCTTGCTTTAAGCACCTTGCAGTGTCGTCAACGATACGTACTCGCAGGTTTTTGAATCACTGTGTAAAACATGAAGTTCATGTCATGAACACACGGAGCGGATGGAGCTTTGTAGTAAAAGGGAGCGGATTCCGCAGCAGTGTCTCCGGTCTCTTTTCAGTGCGACGACTGGTACCACTTAACTCGCGTATGCCTGGAATCACCGCCGGCCGGAGAATGGTAATAATGAGACGCAGCACACTGTTCTGAGAATATCCCTTGGTTCATACCACTATGTTTCTTTCCTTGAAGGTTCTGTCCAGAGTGTGCGCAGAGGCTGCAAACGTGCGGGGCTTGAATTAATGTATTCTGACAACAAGCTATAATGCATGGATCAACGACGTGTTATCTGCGTAATGCTGAGTTCAATGAAACTTTTCTTCTCTTCGACGATCCGCACATATGGAGATGGGTTGATCAAGGTTTTGCCAAATCGTGAAAATTTCGCTCATGAATAACGGGTTCAGCCGTGGTTCTCTAGGATCGCCATTGCGAACCCCCGATAACGCTGCCCACGATCATTGTGAGCATACTAGTCATTTTTACCCTTGTACTGGTCGCGCATATGGAGATCGGTAAATCATGGTATCGCCGAATCGTGGATATTTCGCTCATGAATGACGGGTTCAGCCGTGGTTCTCTAGGATCGCCATTCCGAAGCTACAATACTCCGACCAGTGGTCAATTGAGCCCACCGGTTGCGCACGTACGTGCAACTCCGCCGCACACACTTGACCGTGAACTGGAATACATGCCCCGCTTGCTCAGCAACTTGCCCAAGCCCGAATCGAACCCGGAACTCACCCCCTGGCCCCGCTAGACCGGCCACAAGGAAAAGGCAGTTTGTGGCTCGGAAAGAAAAAAAGTGGCCGCCGAAGAAAAATTGTGGCCAAGGGTAGAAAATTTGTGGCGCGCGCGAAGATGACGCCTTCGTATCCCAGGTATTCATTGGATTTTGTGATGTGCGTCGTGACTCACATACGTTTCACCGAGATGTATATTCACACCTCTCGCATTCCAGTGTTGATATAGAATATGACATTAGTATCGATATATTAGCGTTCAAATGAAAACATGTCAACGTGTTGCTAGTTCGAGAACTGTGCTCATTGTTAGATGTGTTTTGGGGAGCCCTTTGGTGGGTATATAAATGGACGCGAGTGTCTTCTTGTTTGCCGACTACCGCACTGCAGTAGCCGCATTGATGATCGGAAATGATCTAATCTCGATGATTTTCAGAGCGGCTTCTACCCATTAGTATTATGATCTAGCTATATCACTGCGAATATCCCTCCTAATATAAGTGAATTTCATGGAGTTTCATCCCTTCTACGTTAAGTGGCATATAATACTCAATGTGAAAAACGCGATATGAAGTGAATTGAAACACTTCGCGATCTGCCCCGGACAAATCACCCCGTTTCACGTGACACACGTGACGGGTTTTACGCGAGGTCAAATGTGAAATATGATTTTCATCAGTGTTTTTTAGTGAAAATTTCACTAGAGTTTTTAACATCACGGGGGAACTCCGTTCCTGCCAGTGATAGGTTATCGTTATATTATGAGATCTGTTATTTGTGCAAGCAGGCAGCTCGATTCTTCTCTGAGTGCTTTTTTTCGACGTGCGCTCGGAGCTTCAGTGTGTTTCAGTTCTTCGTTCTCTTGTTATGCCTCTCGACTTGCCTCGTATCATGGACAGTGCTGGATTCCATCCGGCCCAGTCCTGGTCCCTGGGGCTTTCCTTGTGTTCTACTGTATTCTTCGCATCACTTTGCACAGTGGCTCGTCGTTACACGTCAAACTTGTGGAATGCGACGGTCGTCATGTCACTAACGCATGCGTTTGGCTGCATCTTCTGGGGAGGCTCGATCCTACTCCGCGACGAATCTACTGTCAGTGGTCCTTCCTCACCAGAGGAAGCGTGCCTGTTGGCCGTTTCTCTGGGTTACTTCCTGGTTGACATTACTCTGTGTGTCTCCGTGTTCAAGGACTGGGAGTCTACCCTGCATCACGCATTCTGCGTCGTGGGGGAGATTGGTGTCCTTTACACTGGTTTATCGGGTCACATCATCATCGCCTTTTTGTTCATTGCTGAACTCTCATCGCCGTTCCTGTATTCTTTCGAGACTGGTTTTGTCCCAGCTGGAAGCACGGCGGCCCTAGTGTGCCAAGCTCTGTTCGCGATCTTGTTCATTGGTGGTCGTCTTGGTGCCGGAACTCTTATGAGTTACTCTCTATTATCCAATGGTGAGGTCCCGTTCCTGGCCAAAACGTCATGCATCGGTCTGATGTCGATTTCGGTGCTGTGGGCCACGCGTATTATGAGGATTGCATATGACACGCTGGTGGGGCTGTTGTCCCCTCGGAAAACAGAGCTATCGGAGGCCAAGACTTCCGAGCCTATTGTCGCGGGCTCTACTGGGTGCTGAGTTTCCCAATGTTATTTCTTCCATATCAAATTATAGAGGCAGGCCCTGATCAGTGTGCCCGAACAGTACCATTGTGGAACACAGTGAGTACTGGTGTTGATCAAAGACTTGGAATGTAATCATCGAGCTTCTGTTGAGTTCGGAGTTGGCCATGTGGGAAACCATGTATGATTGAACAGTGTTTATTATGGTGATCACGAAATGGAAAACACTTTAAAGGAGTTCCACAAATCCTCAAAGTTTAGACCTCGGAATCGCGCTCGTATTTGTCGCCGAACTCTGCGCTTCTTGGCTTCACCTTTCCCGCGCAGACCTAGCCCTAGTGAAATGATAGGCGGGCAACATGTGATTAACGATATTGGCACTTCCACAGTGGACCTCCCTGTTGTGTTGTGAGTAAGGCTACAATCGGACCACATCGTCCCGTCCTGTGTGCCAAAAGTCTCGTCGTGTCGTGTTAGACTCGGTGTTCTCATTACAACCGTGATGCTAGGGGGGTATTCCAGCAGCAGCTCGCTCTCGTCCAGCGATTCTGATAGTGACAACGACGAGGAGAGTAAAGGCAAAGCCTCCTTGCAGTCCACAGGCAACGCCTCTATGTAGTAGTAGGGGGGCTGTAGCGATATATCTACTGCTAGAGTAGACAGCTGGCAGTAGTTCCTCTCTGAATCACGTCGAGCGCACAGGGCATGTCTAGGGTGACCAATTTTTAAGTCCGTTAGGGCGTTAGCCTCAGCATACTGCTCGGTGGGTGTAGTAGTGAACATCACTCTCTGTGAATCTTCAGAGTCGAGTCGCCTGCATCTATTGAGAATGCGTCCCAAGCCTCCGCGCGATATGGCCAGGAGCGGTCTGAACGGCGGAGCGATGAAGGTGATGATAATAGCATGAGGGCTGATGCTGTGGAGGTAGCGGCAACGACTGCATCGAATTCTGCGTACAGGAATGCTTTCAGGACGAATCTGAGAAAACTCTTCCGTCCACAGTGCCTATGGAAAGTAGGGAGACCACCGCTGTGGCTGAGGTGAAATAGAGAGGCTAGCACATAGTCATGATATTGTCCTCGTCAGTCTTTGTCAGTGTCACTGGGCTCACCTTCTAGCGAGCCATCCACACCAGAGGAGGTAGAACGAGTTCGAGACGCCTCCGATGCCCATACGTAATGAATTCCCGATTCTGGGGAGTCCATTCAGGAGGTTGTAGGTATCTCGAACAAGCTCGGATGAATGCCGAAGGGAAGTGCTCAGCAGGAGGTAGTACTGTGGGTGTATGGCTCGGCAGTGGGAGCTGATGTGGGTTAGCTCGGAAGAACGTTGCGAATCTCAAGAGGCAAGCAGAGGCTGGAAGATACGTCCATACGTTTTTGATGGCCAATAGGAAGTTCCACAACCCTAAGTGGACCGAGGAGGTAGCGTCTCAGGGCTCGGTGAGAGGTCTCGAGACTTGGCCTCAGATGTTCGAAAAATTCGGAATAACCGAGGACATACAGAGGAGTACCACACTTCCTCCACATCGGTATAGCAACTACCTCTCTCTCATCATGATACATCAGAATCAGGTATGATCCGAAGAACGTTGCGCTGAGCGAACGGGACTACTGGGATTGGCGACCGGTCTCCATGCAGCCGCCTAAGTGACCGCCCAACGTAAAAAACAGTAGCGTTGCGTTTCGTATTACTATACAGTAGAATGGCAGTTTTTTGAGCTCCTGGATGGCATCTTTCCTACCGCCGTCGGCTCTGCCGGCCAATCCCAATCAGCCTCCTCCTCCGCCTCCTCTCCCACCAGGGAAGATGATGCAGGTAGTGTGGGAGCTCCGTGCTTCTATTCGACGTAATTGTGTACCCTCGCACGCAGTTCCAACCGCCACCGCCGGTCACGGCGCCTCCTTCGGCAAGTAGGAGCGCTGCTTATTTGCCGGCCCCTTCTCCCATGACTGAGGAGGGGTCATGGGAAGAGCCCGACACCGACGTGGCAGAGGATGGTAGTATGCCTGATGTCAGCATGTTTTGTAAGTTGCCGCCCATAGACTCTACTGAATTCGATTTCGAGGAGGACCTCCGGGCGATTGACGAGGTGAAGGGCGAGGCTATGCTGAAGGAAGTCGGCAGCTTAGGTACGTTGGGCTTCCTTCTGGGGTTTACTTCGGTACAGGTTCTTTGGAGTCCAGGCCGGGGACGAGAGGCAGGTACTTCAGCGTGTGCAAACATTGGCTGAAGACTTTGTGTATGAAGGGGGACAAATGTGATTTCCTGCATCAGTAGGGTGGTCAGTGATGTGACCCGTTTCGTATCTTCCGTTGGTGAACCTCAGATACGATGTCAACCGAATGCCGGAGTGTGTAGCCTGGGTCAAGCATGGTCGGTGCACTGAGAAGGACTGTGAACTTCGCCATGACATAGATACTGTGGAGTGCCAGAAGTGAGTATTACGGTTCAACTCGGTGAAATAGGATCCTTAATGAGAGGGATTAGCGCAGTGTAAATCAACACGCGAACGAACGGAAAGTCCAAACCCTATTTTCTCGATGAGAAGTCAGATCTATTCGACGAAACTTGCATCAGGCGGAAGCTCTATAAATTTCTGATCCACTGAGCGTAACAGATGTGATATTCACACTCCGAATGATCAGCCCTGGAAGACTGTACTCGACCGAGTTGTTTCGCATTTCCAACAAGTTTTGTCCCCTTTTGGCAGGTATAAGTACGGATTCTGCCGTCTAGGGAACATGTGTCGACTCCGGCATGAGAAGTAGGCGTCCCTCCAATCCCCAAGGGGGGTATCCTCCCTCAGGCACGGTCGGCAGATGCTACCTGATCTAGTACCCGACTGGTATCTCCGAGAGTGCGTGCCGAACGTCTTTGAGTATGTCCCACGAATGCCCGAGGACCTCTTGCGGACCTCCATCCAAGAGCTCAAACCCAACCGGTCGCAGCCTCCTCCTCCTCCGCCACCACCTCCCCTGAGTGGTCGCGTCGATGCCAGGTTAGGAGGAATACTCGTCACCTACTAGTCATTTTTTGGTCCATGTAGGTCGTCAGCCATGCAGACTGGAGCTGCACCGCCGCCGCCGCCCCCTCCTCCCCCTCCCCCACCGCCGTCCATGAGAACACCGTCCCCGCCACCACCCCCTCCCCCACCGTCGGGACAACAGTCATGGCGACCACCAACTGGGGACAGGTCTACGGGTATGGTCCATTGATTCACTCAGACGATATGCTGTCCTTCTGTCAGGCGCATGGGGAGTTCCCGGCAAGCAGGACTCAGGTGGTGGTCCGGCCACGCTGCTGAGGGATTCCACTTTTTCATCGTCTTCAGGTTGGTCTGCCCAAGGTACTGCTAGTGCTTGGAGTGCCAAGCCCGAGAGAGGCTCTGGGTGGGGAGCCCCAGCGCGAGACCATCATGTGAGCCGGGGTTTTCAATACCACCATGTCATCCATTCGATTACTTTAGGGCGATGACGCTCAGAAGGGTCCGAGCGGCTGGGCTGCATTGAGGCATCAAGCTCCTGCTAATAGGTATAAACATACTTTACGATGCGTTTGCCTTCGGACTCCTCTTCAGACCATCTGGCGCAGCAAGTTGGGCAGCCCCACACAGCAAAGGTGGAGACGACGGGTAAGGATGAAGGCTCCACCAGGGCCCCTAGTCTATGGGGACTTACGTGATGGTCTCAGAGGGAGGAGTGAGTGGAGTTGGAACAGGGCGGACCGCAGTCATCGACGGCGATCACTATCTCGTAGGTTCAGTAACCCGAAGTGCCTCTATTTGTCCTGCTCTTAGGCGACAGAGAATCTCACAGTTCTCGATCTGAGCAGGGACGGAGTAGTTGGGGAGATGCTCGTAGTTGGCGAGAGACTTCGTCACGTATGACTGCAGGAGAGCATTCGGTCGGGTATGAAGTTTTCTCAGGAGGGAATCTGAGTCGTGGCTGGGGAGCCCCTCCAAAGGAAGAGGAGGACCATGACTTCGACAGGCGCTCGTCTCGTTCTGGCAGAGGTACCTTTGTGGGGTACTTCAATGAGATGAGGTACGATTTCAGATCGTGACGATGATCGCGAGAGAGGCCATGGGCGAGAGCATCGCGGAAGGGATAGGAGGGACCGTAGGTCTCCCGATCGAGATCACAGGGAACGTAACCGAGAAAGGAAGCGTCCTCGTCGAGATGAGTAATTCTCTTCACGTTAATACAATTTGTGAGAGAACGTGGGATCTATGGTGTTATGTCGACGTAAATTGTCGGGGAGTACTAGTCTTTGATTCCACACCGGTTAGATCCACCGGTGTCAAAGTAGGCCTGCTCAATACAAGTCGATTAGGGAATGATGCTGATAATAATAATCACAGATCTGTCTTGGGGCTGTCCAGCATGCTTCGGGACGGTTACAAGTCTCCCTTGGGGAGCGAAGGCTACAATCAAAGATATGAATAACACAGAGAAGATGCTACGGGACAATAGTTTGAAATAAGTTGATTATTGGAGAAATATCGTCAAATTTTTAAAACCCCCTCCTCCGTCGCATAGCATATCCATGGAGATTTCGAGATTAAGTCGACCCCAGAGCCTTCACGTGCGGCCTTCCTGATATTGCAGTAGCACATGAGCGATCGATATGGGGATCTTGCAAATATGCACAATTTCTTCCATTTTTTACACCGGAATTTTTTCGATCGTTCAAATACTGATAGGATCAGGGAGGTGATTTTCTTACCTTACTGGTGAGTACTGTTCCCCGTCATATCGTCAACCTTGGCTTCCACCACGCGAGGGAAATGAGCAGGCGACTTTAGGACAGTGTACGCGACTCCATCTGCACGCAAACAGTTCATTTACTCAACTGCAGCTATCTCCGATCTCAGTCTAAACCCGCAGTTTCGAACTTAATCCCGACTAAGGTTGCCCTGCTGCGTGCCTCTGGTGGTATTCACCAACCGGCCAACCGCTGAAGTTGAACCCGATGATTACTGAGCTGGCTCTGTACGATATCCCCCAAGATCGTACTCCTGCTGCCGGTGTCGCTGCGGATGTAATTCACATCAACACGCCCGCTCAAGTGGAGGGGTACGCCAGTTTGAATGAGATCGGAGCGGCTCACGGGCTCAAACGTTGTCAGTGACAACTCGTCACCTACCGAAAAGTCGCTTCTCAGGCGAAATGGGACCATCTATTGCAGATCAATCCGCTCACTACTGACAACTTGTCAGTGACAGGATGCTAGAATCTGCGCGCCAGCGTTAACTCTTCTAGGAGCGTAGCAACGTGGCGGAGCACCCTTCTCTTATAGACACATATTGTATCATGCATAGCCTGATCATCTGCTAGGGGCTGCCTTGTTCCGGACAAGTTCAGAGTCGGACTGCGTTTGCCGCACTGCGCTATGCGTGGAGAGCGAGCAATGAGTAGCGTGAGAAGCTCTGGGAGCAAGTACTCTATGCCTTCTGAAATACGGGGCTGAGCCGATCGCCTAACACTCGTGAACACAACTCTCAACACGAGTCTTGAGAAACCTTGTAGTAGTCCCGTAATGGCATGTGTGAAACGACCGTTCCTGTGAGGCCACTGCCATTACATGAACGGAGTAGAAACAAACGCGCTAGAATTGAGATGAATCGTTCCAGCATACTCGGACGAAAAGAGGTCTATTGTAAAGATCTTAGCCTTACGGTAACGAAATGATTATCTTATATTGCCTGAAAGTAAGCACCGTACTCGCCTCACACTTCCTGCGCTTGTTGAAACTGTTGTCAAAGAACACGCGATGCATGTCTTCGATTGACTACATCGTTACACAATTATCCTCTCAATTACAGATCATCAGACGATGTATGATTGGCGAAGGTTGAGGCATCACGCATGAGCGTTGCGCCAGCAAGATGCGCAACAAACGCGGTTGGACTCCAACCGTTGGGAGAGCCTGTACTCGGATGACGAACCCGATTATTGAGCTCATGAAAAAAAACCGCAATAGCATGTCAGGTGAAATTGGGTTGGATTCCAACCGTTGAAAGTGTGTTTCGGATATTTCCTGACTGTTACACGGATTAAGTGCCATGACAGAACTCACACGCTCGTCCCGAGGCGCTCCATGTTCTCTCCACTTGAAAAAACCTGAGAGGAACGACTGTGAGCTAGTGCGTTCTAGTACTCGTGCCGAGCTCCTCACAGCGCGGACGGTCAACGGAGCCCGTCACCTCCGAAGAGTACCTACAATCGCCAGATGCAGGGGAAAGACCAAGTCCAGATGGAGTAACGGGAGTAACGACTCAACAGATCAGACACGACGTAGCGGGTACCCAGGAAGGAAGCTCAAGCTTCGAACGCGCAGTTCTTCGAGATCGAGTGACTCTCGATTTTATTAGGGAGCGAGCCTTATCCATGGCGTGAAGTCGTGTCTACTATAAGCGCGGTGCCGTCGATTTTCGATGCACCACGTACATGATGCCCATCAACCCGGCACTGATCGGTATCCACAGGATAGCCAATTGTTGCATCCTGTATGTGGGTTGATACACGTTTGAAAGGAATGATAGTTTGGCAGAGCGAACATAGTGGGCGGATGGGCCATCTGAGATGGCAGACCGTTGCCTGACGAATATAGTGCACCAGGCATCTTGTGCTCCGGTTTCTCAGCAGCGCCTCAAAAAAGGCACTTATGCTTTGACGGCAACAAGACATGCAATTTGTCGAGCTCGTAAAAGCAGAGTTTTGACGACTTCGTTGGGTGGACTACCCGACTCGTGGAGAAGCCATTGGTTCAAGAAGCTACGAGTGATCATACACCAGAGAAGCGCCATCCTGACGGCGTTACAGGGAGAATGGATCAAGTGAAACT